GAGCGGCTCCCGGGGCTGGGTTTGGAACCCGTCCCTCAGGCGCGAGGCGCGCTTGCTCCCCTGCAGGGCTCGGGGACTCTTCGCGAGAGGGGCCCTGCCTCTTTCCGGCTGGTTGGTACCACATGGGCCACGTTTGCACAGCTCTTAGCATCCCTCTCCCTGGGTCCGTCTACGCTGCAAAGAGGCACCCCCGTCACCACGCCCCAGGGTCCAGACCGATGGACTCGGGCCCATGCCGTGGGGCTAAAATTAGCCGTGCAACGTCCCTGCGTGGGAACCCGCGCGCCCATCTCGGAGGGGACCCAGGGCTCCGGCTGGCCATGCACGCTGCTAGTTTGACTCCTGCCACTCACGCTTGGCGAACGAGGCGCCGAGACTCAGCACCCCGGAGCTCAGCACCAATCAGGCCGGTTTCCAGAAGGGGGGCTGGGCTGTGGGTCACCCCGGGCCCGGCTGGGAGCGGAGCCCTTTTGAACCAGCTGTGAAAGCCGAGCGCTGGGGAATGTGGGCATGAGGCCGGGGTGGGGCGAGGAGTTGCAGTTTCTGGAGGAAAAAGGGGCTCTTTTGACGAGCAGGGCCCTGGGGTTCATTCTTTTCCGGGTGTAATGGTTCCCGACGGGTTAGCAGATCAATTTCTGACAGTATCTCGTCCTCTCACGGGGACGTTTAGGGGCTTTTCTCTCCCCCTCAAGAGACAAATCAGTCTCCTTCCTTTGGCTGCCAGGAGCACGACACATAGACCGGAAACCAGCAGTCAGAACGTAGGCATGAAGTAAATCCGAATGCCAATTGGCCCTGGGTCTGACAGCACCACGCCTGCTCCGCTGCGGAGGCAGAAACCCGCTCGGCTCCCCCGGGAAGCCGCCAGGCAGAACTCGCGAGCGCTGCACCTGCACGCGGTGCCGAAAAGTCCCTCACTCCGAGCACCGCTGGTGCCGTTATCGGTGTCCCCGCAGGGCCCTGCCTGGCGTGGGCCTGTGGAGTGGCCCGTCTCCATGGCGACCTGGAGGGCAGCACGCATGGCAGATGGGCTAGTCCTCCCCCATCCCAGTTTATGGCCAGGGGTTCAAGGCAGGTCTGCTCTCAGGCAGCCAGTCCCAGCCACCGCGTGTGTATCCCTGGCTGTACTGCGCGTGTTGCTCAAACTAGAGCGTCTGTCCGCCCACACTGGGACACGCCCAGGCCGCAGTGTGGACATGTCCCGTGGCTGGCTCCTCTGATGGCAAACAAGCAAGACGTCCTAGAGGGGACTCCCAGAAGCTTCCCAGGGGGGTCTGGCGTCACCCCAGAGAGGCAGCCCCGAGGGAGAGACCTGGCCTTAGGCCACGTCTACGCTCCACAGAAGGTGGACGCTGCCGCGGTCGATCTTCCGGAGTTCGACTTAGCAGGTCTAGTGAAGAGCCGCTAATTTGAACTGCGAGGGCTCCCCCGTTGGCGCCGGCAGTCCTGCTCCTCACAAGGAGTAAGGGAAGCCAATGGGAGCGCTTGCTCCTGTGTAGACGGCGCAAAAACGCGATTTAGGATACGAAGCTGGGTTTGCGTCTCTTAAGTCAGCTTTCCCCTTTAGTGTAGGCCAGGCCTGAGGGTCTTACCCAGACTCAAGAAATCCTGACGTTCAAAAAAAACCAAACACCCCTGCCACCAGTGCCAGGCCTCTGGATTCAGGACAGGCCGGAGCCTGAATGCCAGAGACCAGAGATAACCATGTGGAGAGCAGGGGGCTCCTAATCCCCTCCCTGCTCGGTGTTTGCCCACGTTGTGAAACACTCCAGCCCCAGTGGACCCGGCCCTCCCTAGAAGGCGGAATGAACGTGGCTGTCACTCCGGACTGCCTGGTGTCGGGCCCAGGGTGACAAGTCCATTTTGTGACAAGGTTTGAGGTTTCCAGACACGTTTTTGCTCCACCTCAAACGTTTTCACAAAATTGTGGTGAGACCGCCATTTCCAGAGCGTAATGGCCTGGCTGTGGAGGCGTCTCGCTCGCCGTCTCGTCAAGTGACCAGGGAGCCGGCGGCTCAGAACCCTCCCGCTGAAGTTTGTCAAAGCTGATCTGTCGCCACCACGTGGTTTGGCTTTCGCGGAAATACACCGAGACAAAACCGCTCTGAGTCTCTTCCCTGCTCTGGTTTGAGAGGTTCTCTTAGCCCACCACTTGTACAGCTTGAAAAGGGAGCCCCTCCTTCCCTCTCTCTCTCTCTCTCCCTCTCAGGTCTCAGTAACATAATTGGGATTATAGTCTACATCTCGGCAAACGCTGGGGACCCGGGGCAGAGTGACTCCAAGAAGAGCTACTCCTATGGCTGGTCCTTCTACTTCGGCGCCTTGTCCTTCATCATCGCCGAGATGGTGGGCGTGATCGCCGTGCACATATACATTGAGAAGCACCGCCAGATCCGTGCCAAGTCCCACTCCGACCTGCTGAAGAAGTCGGCCTTCTCTCGCCTCCCCACCTACCGGTACCGGTTCCGCAGGCGATCCAGCTCCCGCTCCACAGAGCCCCGGTCCCGGGACCTGTCCCCGGTCAGCAAAGGGTTCGGCACCATCCCCTCCACCGACATCTCCATGTTCACCCTCTCCAGGGATCCGTCCAAGGTGACCATGGGGACGCTGCTCAACTCGGAGCGGGAGCACACTTTTTTACAGATCCATAACTCCATCCCCAAAGAGTTCAAGGAGTCGTTGCACAACAACCCAGCCAACAGACGAACCACGCCGGTCTGAGCCGGCTCTCCGCAGGACGCCCTCGGGCGCTGAGCCAGCCAGGGGAGTAGGGAGGGGCGTTTTGTCTGGCTGCATGACATGGTCCTTGTGATGGTGTTACCAGTGAAGCTCCGTTTTTAAAGAACAAACCCAAGTGGCTCCTTGCCTCACCCCACCCCTTAAATGCCACTTGCCAGGCCATTGTGTTCATGGTTGAACTGTGTTTGAATCCCAGAATCCCGTTTCTGTGGCAGGACAGGGACCTCGGGTTGTTGTGTCTCCCGGGGTCGAAGGCCCTTGCGGACTGGCAGGGTGGTTTCCAGCTGCCTCTGGGACAGTGACATCTCAGCCACCTGTGTTCATGTTGATCATAACAGCCACCGTGTTACCTTCGCTCTCTGTCCCAACGATAACGCTGGAGACAGCCTCATGCGTGAGAACCATTCATCCGGTAGTTACATTTCTGCGAAATTGCCTAGAAGTTCCGGGTACGAAGCACTGAACTGGCTAACATCGCGAGCCCGCGCGCCGTTTTAAACATTTGGCCTTCTCGTAAGGCAGGGCTTCTTTCTGGCATTTCGTGCATGCATTCAATCGCTTGGAGTCCAGTTTCGTCATGGTGGGTTGGAAGGCACGGCCTTGGGAGAACGGTCGGGGGCTTAGGATGAGCTGTTCAGTGGGGAGACGTGGGGGCAGAGCGCAGTCCATCCCCATCGGGTAAATGGACTCAGATGCAGATTCCCTCCAGAACGGCGGCAACCAGACAACGTTTGATGACCCGCTAGTGTTACACAGCGAGAAATAGCTCCCTAAAATGAACACACGCACGCACAAGTGAACGTGTGGGCACAAGGGAGGGAGGGGTGGCCTCAGCTGAGTTTAGCAGAAACTGGGTTTGAACCGGAGCCTCTGGGGGGGGTGTGGGTCACTGGTGTATGAGTCTGTAATGAAGAATGTCTCAACCTGACTGGGAGATTAAAGAGAAAAACAACAATAAAGAAAAGTCCAGTCCGGCTAATCCGTTACTTGGCTCCGAGGGCAGCGCTCTCGCACGTTGCTGTGAACAGCTGGGAAACGTGTCCCACAAAGCACTCTGCACTAGCACCTCAGACGTTCCCACCCGCCTTCCGAGATGGCGCAGCAGAGAAAGCAAAGGAACGCATGCCACACATCTGGGGCCCCCCATTACAGAAAGGATGGGCACGCACTGGAGAGAGTCCAGCGGGGGGCGACCAAAGTGACCTATTAGGAGAGGCTGAGGGATTTGGGCTTATTTAGTCTGCAGAAGAAAAGAGTGAAGGGGGATTTGATAACAGCGTTCAACTTCCTGAAGGGAGATTGCAGAGAGGATGGAGAGAGGCTGGTCTCAGTGGGGGCAGGTGGCAGAACGAGGCGCAATGGGCTCAAGTTGCAGTGGGGGAGGTCTAAAGGTTGGAGATTAGGAAAATCGATTTCCCTAGGTGGGTGGGGAAGCGCTGGGCTGGGTTCCCTAGGGAGGGGGTGGAATCTCCATCCCTAGAGGTGTTTAAGTCCCGGCTTGACAAGTCCTGGCTGGCCTGATTGAGTTGGGGCTGGTCCTGCCTTGGGCAGGGGGCTGGACTCGGTGACTCCTGAGGGCTCTGCCCGCCCTAGTCGGCTTTACCATCCTAGGATCCTCAGCTCTCCCAAGCTGAGTGAGGGGCTAAGCCCGCAGCAGCACATGGTGGTGGTGAGCAGGGGGCTTTCTGACCAGAGCCCAGCTCTGCCGCTGCAGCCCTGTCGGGAAGGCGTGAAGCACTGCGCCCTGGAGTATTCCACTGACTAAGCCTTCTCCGGGTCGTTCTGCGCATTTGTTCCCAGCGCCTCTCAGTGGCTGAAGCAGCCCCGTACAAGAAATAGATCCACTCCCCTAGCACGGCTGCGTCCCTGCCACCATGAGTGCTGGGGTTCTCGGTACTCACTCGAACTCTGAGCTCTCTCTCTAGGCCCCCCTGTGATCTCCGGCAGCTCCATCCTACAAAGCCACTCACCCCTGTGTGAGGCGCTGCCGCATTTCATGGCTAAAGGGAACGGTGGGAGGCACCTGTAAGGCCTTTGGCGCGGAAGCACACCGCAGTTTGATCAAACCACCAGAAAGATCAATAATGAACATGGGGCCCCGATTAAAAGCTGCTCACTGGTTGGTCTCAAAGCGTCGTCGTGAGCGGGGCGTCGTCACAGCGTGCGGGTCTCCAGCGGGATCCTGGAGGGCCCTGTTCTTGGCTCTAGGCTGTTTAACACATTTATCGGTGAGCTGGCAGGAAACATTCAATCCTCACTGATAACGTTGGCAGGTGGTGCAAAGCTGGGCGGAGGGGTCACTGAGACCTGCAAACCACGTGCGTGGTTTACAGTGTAAACACATACATCCAGGAGCAGGGAATGCAGCCACACTGGCAGGATGGGAAACTCGATCCCAGGGAGCAGGGACTCTGAAAAGGGGTGGCATGGAGATCACAGTCCGCGCAATATAACTTCCCCTCTGTGTTCCCCATAAGCTGAGCTCTTGGGCAGCCATCCAGGAGAGATTCAAATGCCGCCCAGCTGATTAGCAGAGCCCCACAGCCGGCAGCCTGTGTTTCTACCGGTGGTGCACATCTTCACAAGCCCCAGTGCACATAAAATTTATTCTGCACGTGAATGGAAACAATTAGAGGGAACATTGCTCCCCAGGCAATGCTGTGCCCAAAAGAGCTAATACGATCCTGGGAGGCATCAACAGGGAACCTTGAATAGGAGTCGAAGAGTTGTTTTAACCTCTCTATTTAACCCTGGGTGACCGGCGCTGGAAAATCGCATCCCTTTCTGAGGTTTACAATTGAAGAGTAGGTTGCTCTTAAAAAGGGGAGTGTTCGGGGAAGAGCCAGGAGAACGGGCTCAGGAAGCCTGCCACAGGAGACTCAAGGGCTCAGTCGGTT